AAAAAAAAAAAAAAAAAAAAAGAAGAAAAAATGGTATAACTATATATAATGAAAATGAATAAGAAGTAAGAACAAATATATGTTTTACTAACCTTGCTGATTTCAAACGTGAATTTGATACTATGCCTGATAAACTTTGTTTAAGCAAAGAATCCAATTCGTTTAATTCCTCCAGTGCTTTTGCTTTACTGTCAATTTTCTTTTCAGATGTGTTGATTAATTCATCTGAAAATGGAATGTTACTCACCATTTGTTCATTTTTTTAATTGATCAAATTCATTACTAAAGACGTTTGATTTGTTCAATATTATCAGTGTTATTCAATCAAAAGAGCATATATTTTAAGCATTTTATGTTCACGGACCTTTCTTATTTTTAGGTAAAACATTGAGCGGCTGCATAATTGAATCAGTCATTAAGAAATTTGCATTGGAAACTGAAGAAATATCTGAATTTTCAGATTTTCCTAATGAATTGAAAATATCTCCTAAAACTTCCATATCTGACTGATGATTTGTTGTCATTGCATTGTAACTTGCATTTACATCATCACTTTTAACAGGAATGGTCTCCATTGGAGAGGATAAATCTAATAAATACGGACTGATGTTGGAATCTGTCTTAGGTTTTATACATTTACCATGAACTATAATTGTAGTATATTTCTCAAATACTTGTTCCAATTCATCACTTGCAGCAAGTACATCACCTATATATAAATAAATTATTCAAATATAAAATAATCTTAATATTAAAAAATAAAATATTATAAAATAATCTTAAAATTCTAATTAATAATTATAAATTTAAAAATTAAAAATTAAAATTTAAAAATTATATTATTCATAACTTGACTCATACTAACAAAAGTATATATAAATTTTTTAATGTGTAATTTTATAACACATAAAATATTTATATTCATTATATAAATCTTTATTATAAAATACTGACCAAGCATTCCTTCATTATCTTGAGTTTCATTTGCTAACCTTAGCACAATTGGTTTCAATCGTTCACAAGCTTGATATAATTCTTTCATTAATTCAAGATCTTCTGTACTAGTTTCATTACAATTATATGAATCCAACATTTCTGATAATAACTTTGCATTGTTATGAACAGATTCTAATTCCATTATCCTACGTGAATTTAATTGTACTCTTCTTTCATCCTATAAAATAGATGGTTAATGTATTCTGTAAAATTTTGTAGTAATTTCAAATATGACTCACATACCTCTCTCACCATAGTTTTAATTAATCTATTCGCAGCTTGTAAGTCATCAGGATTTTTGCTTTGAAGTAATTTTTGCAACAATTTGGATTTCTCTTCATCATCAAATATTGTGTTTTTAGTTTTTAATACTTTTAATCCTTCTTCTTGTACATTATTCATAGATATAGAATCATCCTAAGTGCATATATAATTTTCACATTTTAAGAAGAGATTGGAAAAAAAAAAATTATTTATATTTTATAAAAAATAACATATAAAACTTACTTCGATAACACCTTGTTTTTTTAACATTTCATAGGCTTCCTTGATTTTTAATTCTTTTGGATATTCCTTTGTCCACATATTTAACAATTGCAATACTTTTTGACGTACTATAGCTGGTGTTTTACCACCCAAATATTTTGGTGAAACTAAACGAATCATTTCATTTAAAAAACGAAATTTTCCAACTTCTGCGTGAAAAGATGGACCACATCTTCTCATACATGTATCCAATAACTATGTAATTAAAAGTCATATTTTTTATTAAATATATATTACATAAAAATTATAAAAATTTAAATTTTCTTTAATATATATATATATATATATATATTAATTTATTATTAAAAATTATTTTTTAATTTCAATTTATATTCAAATAATATCAGCCATTAAATATCAAGCAATAAATGAAATAAAATAATTAAATTGAAATAACTTTTATATATTTATGTATGTGTACGTATAGCTCTTGGAATAAAATAATAAAATAGTTTTAAATTTGAATTTATTATGTAAACAAAAATTGGAAAAAAACTTACAGCAAGAGCTTGAAGTGCTTCTGTCTCATTAGATGACTGAATATGCAATGCTAATAATTTAGTACCAATTTGAATACCTTCCGATTCTTTGGTAAGCATTACGCAAAATGCTTCAATTGCAGCTATATCAGGTTTTTGATTTTGAGGATTCGTTACCCTTTCTATGAGGAAAAAAAAAGAAGAAAAAAGAGAAAAAGAAAATATATTTAATGAACTGACTAAAACTTGATATCTATTAAATGGGCAATCTATGATTATAAATATTTCGAAATAATATAAAAAAAATAAATCGAATTTTTACTTACGCATTAGGGCCTCTAAACTTGTTGTTACAACATCCATTTCTATGATGTTTTTACAATTTCTTTAAATTTATGCGTTTTAGGTTATATGTATTTATTTGACAGCCAAGACGAACAAAAGTTTTAAAGATACCATTTTGATTTTTTCTTCACAAACAGCAATCACCTTAAAATTAAATGTAATATGCTTTAATGTGTACAATTAATATTCTATCTAGTTTAATTCTTCTAACGAAGATACATTAAAATGTTAAAAAAAAAGTTTCTTATGAAGTTTACAAATGTTTCGTATGCAAACAGCTGTTTGCAATACAATTTACTAGTAGAATTCTATTCGTAACTCTTCTGACATGAGGCGCTATAATAAATGATTTGTACAATACCGAGAACAAAAAATATTTACAAAAGAATTATCGAATTTCATTATTAAATGTGTATATGATAAAAAATTTTCAATTATAATTGCAGTTTCATTGTGTTCTTTAATAAATTAAGTAGATTAATATTGAGTTCACTGTACATCTATGTATAGTCAATATTCGAACCGTCAATATTATTCTTATCTGAATTTAGTATTTTCTTATATAAATATTTTTGACATGTGAAAATATTATTTAAATATCTTTTTCTTTATAATATATGACAATGTTATCATTTATGTATTCATTTATATAAATGTAATCATTTATGTATTCATATAAAATTTTTTATATATACAATTAATATACATTAATATAAAAATACAAAAATTCTTTCTAAAATATTTACTGTAAAATAGATTTTAAAAGAAAGAATATTATATTGAATAAATTATTTTAAATATGTTAAAATACTTAATCAAATTTAAAATAAGATGCATAAAAAAAATTTCATTTATATTTTCTGAAAATTTTAAATACTTTTACATATTTTTAATATGATGTTTAATAATAAAATTAAATATGTTTAAAAATTTAATATTCTTACATTTATATTACATTTATCCTACAGATAAATATCATTACTACTGAAAATTATTCATTATATTATTCATTTGGAAAACTAGAATGACTTATTAAAAAAAACTTTTTATTTTAATAATAAATTTTGTTTGAAACACTTTTTTATTACATTATACAACATATTTAAAAAATCGTGGTAATAATTACGCGTAACATATAATTCATGAAATACAACAAATTTAATGAATCAATGTTTATATTTTTTTTGCATTTAATCTTATTTTACAAAACGTTGATAATTTTATTTTTTTAAGATTTTTATTTTTATGTATAATAATTCAAAGAAAAAATTAATTCAAAGAAAATCAATTAATTTATTAATGTTTTCTACCATTTTCATATGAAATAAAATTGAAAATATTATTGCATATAATAAAGTTTTTAACTTTTTTTGTTTGTTTTAATATTATTTAAGCTTTATTTAATATTATTTAATATATAGTTTTTAATTTTATAGATTAATATTTGATATATAGTACTTGTATTTTTAATATTTTTTTCTTTTATTTAAAATTTTTTTTTCATTACATTTTTTATTACATATATAAACATTAATAATTTTATTTTTCATCATAATAAAAAAACATGATAATAATAAATTTATTAATAGATATTTTATAGAAAAATTAATAAAAATAATATTAAAATTAATATTAAAAATTATTTTTTTTAATATTCTAAATATTGAAATAAACTTTTGGTTGTAAAAAGTTTAGAGAGAAAATCTTAATTTAATTTCCAAACTTCATTTTTTTGTAAATAAATCCTTATATTAATGAATTTTATTTTACTTTTAAATAATTTTTGTATATAAAAATCACTCAATTTTCACTACGCAATTCACGAAATAACCTATACATGTATGAAAATATTTTAATATACCTTGATAAAAAATGAATAATTTATATATAATTTTTAATAAATTTATTTAAAAAAAAAAAGAAATTTTTTGATTATATCATATAAAGTAGAATTTCGATTGTTGCAATCTCTATCACGGAAATTTTAACTATTCTTGTATCTGAACAAAAGTTCAGTCTTCTCTTACATGTCAAGTAACTATCCTGTTTTTAATCGTATTTTTTTAAAAATTATTTTTCACTATTTTT